ATGAGCTGCATAGAGATATGTGCAGAGTGATGGCGAGAACAATCAGTGTAACGTGTTTTTACACGTTTATGGCAGAGATGGAGTGCAGGATGAAATGTACAGGAGTCAGACGGTGGAGAAAACGGTGCCTACGTTCGCAGAATCAGAAGAAAATAAACTATGAAACTTAAACATTTACTTAATGAAACATTTTAGAAGTAGGAAAAACAAAACACGGTTTGGTAAAATATTTAGGCGTGCCTGCTGTTTAGGAGACCCGGTATCTGGTTCAGTTCCATCCCAAATGTAAGTGTCTCTTGGTCGTCAGTCAGCCTTAAAGGTGGGCTGTACCTTAAAATACAAGCCAAAATCAAAAGGAGAAAAGTGATTTCCAAAGGCAGAGTTTATATATTTAGATATTTAAGATGTGAGATGGCTGATTCAAATCCCGGCTGTGGACCTTTCTGGGTGGAGTCTGCATGTTCTCTCCGTGCTGCGTGGGTTTTCTCCGGGTGCTCCGGTTTCCTCCCACAGACCAAAAACATGCATGTTAGGCTGACTGGTGACTGAACTGTCCCTAGGTGTGAGTGAGAGAGTGAATGGTTGTTTGTCTCGTTTGTCTCTATGTGTCCCTGCGATGGACTGGAGACCTGTCCAGGGTGTTTGAGACATTTTTCAACAGTGACTGTTGGATATGGGACCCGAAAAGAAATAAGCGGGTAAAGATGGATGGATGGATGGATGGATGGATGGATGGATGGATGGATGGATCGATGGATGGATGGATGGATGGATGGATGGATGGATGGATGGATGGATGGGTGTGAGATATGTAGGCATCACAGTAGTTAGAGCTGTCACCTCTCAGCGAGAGGGTCGCTGGTTCGTCTCCCAGCTTGAGACTTTTCTGGATGGAGGTTACATGTTCTCCTCCACCATGCATTGGTTTCCTCCCACAGACCAAAAAAGCATGCATGTTGTGTTAGATGGTAACTCTAAATTATCCCCGAGTGTGAATAGTTGTTTGTCTCGTTTGTCTCTATGTGACTGGAGACCTGTCCAGTGTGGCCCCGCCTCTTTCACAGGGACTGTTAGAAATGAACACCAGCTTCCCAAGGACCGGGAAATGATGTGTGTGATGACAATAGATGGACGTAGGTGGAATAGTGACACTTATTTATATCTTGTTTTTATTAGTAATAAAAAAGTATTGTAAGAATAAATATGTTTCAACTGCTGCCTTACACACCAAAGTTTCAAAGAGTGGACAGTCAAGCCAAGTCGAGTCAACTTTATTTATAAAGCACATTTAAAACAGCAGCTGTTACCAAAGTGCTTATCAATAAAAATCAATGGGAGTAATTTAATGAAAATAATAATGCAGAAAATTAATAAAAAGCATAAAAAGAAGAACATAAAAACACAGAACAATAAAATACTAAATCAAATCACACTAATCTGTTTGGTTTTAATGGCAGATAAATCTGACGATCATCGGCATATCAGTTGAAAGAAAGACCGTGTTTCCTCAGGATAGACCCCAAAGGGAGCAGATACAGTGAAAACAGAAGGGGTCCAAGAATTGAGCCCTGCGGAACCCCACAGGAAACGGGCACTTCAGCAGATACACTATTACCAATATTAACACAAAAACTCCTGTCACTCAGATATGTGTTACAGAGGACTCACGGCTACTACCACAACAGACTTTGGCTTAAAATCTGTCAAACTGATGAAATTATAGCTGATTTTGTGTTTTGTGTATTGTTGGCTCTGGCAGCGATCTTGAAATGGCTTGATTCCAAAAATTAATATGTTGTAGATGAACATCAAATTATTTCTTTATGAGAATATTGTTAAAATCCGTTCAGTGGTTCGTGGAATATTTTGATAAGAAAAATAATAAATCAGGAACAACTCAAACAGTTAATGCCAAAATTGTAAGCTGAGATCTTGAGCAATGTGTGGCACTCGGAGTATGCAGACAACAAATTTTGGCTCAAGATTTTCAATATTGATGGCGTCATAGTGAAGTTTGTATTTTTTTAAGGTCAATTGACGTCTTATATTGAGAGTGCACCCAAAAATAAATCAGTCGTAGGTGCACATTCAGTGATTCCTTTCTGAAAGTTTTCTTTAAATCCATTTAATGCTGCTTAAGATATTTTACGTGTAGACACAAACACACGTTTACACACAATTCCAACATTAACGTCCATGGTGGTGGTGGTGGGCAAAACTCAGGCAGGCAGGATGAATCACATGAAAGCTGACAGGAAGTTCAATAAACAGAAGCACAAATCGATGAAACAAACAAAGTGTTGTTCAGATTATTTTACAGGTGACGCAATAGTTTCATGTGACATGCAAATGCATGATGGGAAACAGCTGGTCAGCACCTGGCAGGCTACCAATCCAATAAGGGAACAAATAGATTAGATCCAGCACCCCCCCCCC